CTGTTCGGAGGGTTAAAGCCTCTTGTCCTACACAAATTACGACAAACTAAACTTACAGACTTTTCCAACACGAGTTGAATTTATAAATGACCCCCAATAATGGTGACAGTGAATAGGATGTCCTAGTGTTTTCGATTGTTCAATTCCTCTTTTTAGTCAATGAAATGCTAAGTGATTTGAGAACTATCAGCAATTTTTAACTTTCCTTAACATCGTGATGTGCCTTTGGATTATTGGCTTTGTGCACAATAACCCTGCGGGCTGCGCAGGGGCTCAATCGCTAGTCCCTTTTTTGTTTCTTGACTTTTTTTTATGAAGCTATCGCCCAAATCCTTGAAACTACATGTAATCCTAAAGTGAACCTTATGTTTTGAGATGGTATGGTCGTTTTTCTTGTAGAAGTTCACTTGGGGGTCAGCCGCTTTTGGGAAAGTTGGGCCTCCAGACAAAGCCCATTCACTTGTGCACAACAAAGTTATCTGTGCTTTACACACCGCCGTCACAACAATGTCATCAATCATCCTCTACTGCTGGCCCAGTGACAGCTGTCTAGAGCCGCAGAAAGGCTGTTTCGACTGTTTCATGCCCATCTTTTTTGGGGGGATCCAACATGTAATGGTCGATCCAACATGTAATGGACAATCCAACATGTAATGGTCACAGTGCATGCAGTGTATATACTGGAGGGTATATACTCTGTATGACCTACTGGAGGGAATTCAATCTTGTGTTGGTTCGGGGGACCTGCATCATTTAGACCATTAGAGAAAGGATTGTGTCCACAAAATAGTATTTTATACGCGGCGTAAGCGTTTACGCTACGCAGCTCGCAGGGTTAAGACGTTGATTAAATATGTTTTTTCACAATTCATATTCAGACCCCTCGATGCAGAGTCAGTCGATTTTCACCTTCATTGCCGTCGGTATCGCGGCTGCATTTCTGCTGGTGCTTGTTGCGGTTATTGTCTCATGGAAACGCCGAAAGAGTAAGTTTGTTTGCCAACTCTAATGACTGTTAACTCTGTTTTTGACACTGCTGTCTACTACTGAGCTATTGCTTTGCTGATTCCACACAGCAGCACACTGCAAAAAACTGTGTTTAGCAATTAAACACTTTTCTAAACACTTTCTTGCTATCAGGTTGTAAACATGTTTACATACTAAACATGTTTAGAGTGAGGATGGATAGTGTTTAGCAATTGAACATTGATGTTTCAGAATGGAACACATAATGTTTAGCTCCTAATCATGTTTACAAAGTGATAGAAAGATTGTGTTTAATGGCTAAACACAGATTTTAGAGTGCACCTTGTTGGGATCAATTGCAGCTGCTAGTAATAATGTGTTGATATTCAGTGCCTTTTGGACTTATCATGTACACTTTGCGTCGTCAATTTGATACAACTGACCTGCTTAGAAACCTCCAGATTTCTTTCATATTTACGGTGGACATTTAACATTTAGCTTTTTCCCCCTGCCTTCTAGCGCCGAATACTGGGGACGCCACATAAATATAAGAGTAATCAACAACTAACACGTGCTTTTACATCATAGTGTGCGTACGGGTGAGGTCAAATCCTATACTAGGGCCAATATCAGGATCAGTTTCCTGTTAGTTCAGCCCGTGAAGCAATCTTGATGTTTCTTTTTGAGATTTGAAAGCTAAGAAATATGGATAATCAAAACATAACACCATTGTTGATTGTCCAGAATGTACTATAATAATATTTGCGTTTCGAATGTAAAATTCGAGGAAACAAATGCATCCTGTATAGTCATTATATAAGTTCTGATGGCTGCTAAACATATCGAATATTGAGGTGATTTGTTTATATGAGTTTCATTGTTTGTGGGTTAAAGTGCAAAATCGGAAAAACGAAAGTGTACACATTGTATTTTTGCAATGAGGTGACAATGAAGGTAACAATAACAGAAACCATTGTAGACATTTGCTTATGGTTTGATTCTCGTTATTCCTATCTACAGATAACATTGCCTCCGATGGAAACCAGTGAGTAAAATGTATTTTAAATATTGACAGTTTTGCTTTGTCAATGATTTATTGGAATTAGTAATGCGGGTCAGTTTCTTTTTGTGCTGACACGATAAGTCTTTATTCCACTGATAGTCGCTGTTGCATATTTCTATTTTTATCAACCGTAATTATGTTTTAATGACAAGCTATATGCTTGTGTTCTAATGACAAGCTATATGCGAGCATTATCACAGCATGCTTTTAAACTTTGCAAGCTGGAATAAAGTAAAAAATGAGGTCATCCACGTAAAAACAAGTACTGCAAATTCTTCCTTTAAGGAGACAGTACTGTTCCTAAACTCAATTTTGTGAGAATTTACCCCCAAAATGCTTGACAATACTACATACACCTTACACAGAGCGCCATAAATGGTGGTAGTTCTTTGTTAATTTAAATGAGAAAAAAAAATATTTTAAGATAGGTTGCTTTGTGCACTTGTCCTATAAAGGCTGGAGGATTCAGCCGGGGAACACAATGCAACTTGTCAAAGTTATACGAACACCAATGTACGGAAGCGTATTTAGGACAAACAAATTCGGTCAACGTTTTCGTCGGGTGGTTACTATTCCGCCCGGGCGAAGTAATATTTAGCCAGGTTTGATTACTATTCCACCTGAGCGGATTACCATTTGAGTTGATTTCTAGCACAAAACAGCTGATATTAACCCATTAAAGGAATTAATAGAAATTTGCTAGTGTTTTAGAAACATTTTTGGGTGCTCAATAGTTGTAGAAATGTTTATTGTATAATAGGGCTGTTAATCTCAATTGTTCAAGTTTTGGGGGGGGCTGATTTGGACCCAAGTTGTCTTCTAAACAGTTCATATCATTAAATTTGAAACTTGGAATAGACAACTTGACAGGGAATAGTACATATTACCGAGACGTCATTGTGACATCATCAGGTATTTCAATAATATGTTAATTTTAACGTGCTTTTTTTGTTTATTTATAAATCATAAACTATACGGAAACAAATCATGTTAAAGTTAGTATATAGGTGCTTTTTTTCAAAGTTGATTTTTAATTTAAAAGAATATAGGGCCCTAATGCTCTCTAACAAATACTTTTGCTTGTTTGCTTTTTGAAGCATTCATACTACTCTGTGTCAGGATGTTCAGTCCAAGTTTATGATATGGATCGTTTATATGAAATAATTCAACCCCCACTTGAAAGAGTGAAATGAACAGCCTTGTTACCCAGCAATACAATTTTAAAAACATTGAGCGCCCGAAAATGTTCCTACAATACTAGCAAATGAATATTAATTCAAAAAATGGGTTAATTTGAGCTGTTTCGAGCTCGAAAACAGCTGAAAATGTAGCCAGCACGGGCGGAATAGTAATTCCGACCGGGCGATTTAGTAATCCGTTCCGGGCGAAATGATAATTTTGTCCGGGGGGGGGGGGGGTATGCCCTTATACGCTTCTGTACCAATGGTATGACTCTGAAAGCTTTATATTAGTAACAATGTATTGTTAACATGCTATTACAGGCCTGTAGTTCGCTACACACGGACTGGAACCGACAGGCCCACGGCGTCTGTGAGTCCTGTTTTGAACACAGTCGTAGGACCATCAGGTAAACTAAGCTTAGTGCAGGAATTCCCAAGCTGTTCGTGCTAGAGAATGGGATCTTCGAATTCAAAACTGAAATGACACCTAACACGTATCGAACAATGATAACGATCATGTTGCCATCATTAAAGAATGACGATTCGATCTTTGATCGAAATTATGTTTCGATGTGACAGGTTACAAGTTTGCTTGTATATAAAATCAAATTATTTATTTTTTTAATACAAAATTAAATCAAGCTGCTTTAATTTGATTGGTACAATGAAGCTTCAAGAGTGGAGTGTCATGGCCTAGCAGTTAAGAACACCGGACTCTTGCTCTGGTGTTTCAGAGGCAACAGTGGCGTGGGTTCGAGCCCGGGCCCGGACACTTGTGCCCTTGACCATTATTGCTTCGTCCTTCGGATGGGACGTAAAGCTGTAGGTCCCGTGTGTTGTGTAATGCACGTTAAAGACCCCAATAACACTTATCGCTAAGAGGTTTGCCCCGGTGTTTCTGGCAGTGGCTGCAATATGCAGCAAGATGACGTAAATAAAGAGTGAAGTATATTTGGTCATACGGCCTTTAAAAATACGATAACTTTAAGAGAAGCCACTCTCAAAACTGTGTACTTTATTTTATTACAAGTTGCGGAAAATATCTACGAGGAAAATACGTTCCTTCCGAATAGCGATTCGCCTCCTGCTACGACAGCGCCCTCTAGCAGTGACATTCAGGCAACAAGGAACTTCCGACGTTACATTTCCGGTAATCAGTTAATAGAGTTACTCAATAAAGTCAATGATTAAGTCCACTCTTCGGTTAGTTTATACACCGAAGCGTTGAGTTAAAACATGTTCATGTCCGATCAACCTCTGCTTTGTGATATGCGACCAACACTTCATGTGTGCATCCGGAAACATCATTAACATTGGTATGTGTTTTGCAGGATACTTTTGGACATGCCTCACTTCTTCAACTTATTTCGACGAGTTTGGATGTTCTGGTTTCAAAACTGATGTTCAAACTGATGTTTTTTGGTTTTCTTGCCTTGCTTTTTTTTAAGGCAATAGGGTAGTGGAGACTGTAGTCCTCCCTGGCCCCCTGGAGGAAAGCGATATGCCGTCTACCAGCAACCAACAACCAGCCGCCACCATTTCTAAGGAAGTATGTAAATTAAAACTAATACATTCTTTCAAGTTATCAAAACAAATATGCATTATGGTTACATTTCCGTCAAAATTAAAAATGTGCATACATTAATTTGTTTGTCAAATAATCCAATTTTTCAAATGCGCAGTCGTGATATTTGCATTAAACGCAGTCATTTCTACCTATTTGTCTTGGCAGGTCCTCATTTACGCAGACGTCCATCACACCAAGGCACGCCCATTGGACGTCCCGCCCATCCGCACGGCGCCTACCACCCAGTATGCAGACATCGACATCTTCCTGTTATCAACTCCTGTCGAGACCCCGCCTCTTCTCAGAGACGACGCCCCAAGCTTGGGTGCTGAGGGGCTGATTCTAGATAGTTTGCAAGAAGAGGGCATTGAAGAGAGGGCTCCGCCCCGCCCCCTCCGGGGTAACCCGATCCCTCATCTGGTACGGGATTGGCAGATCTAGACTTAACGAGTGTGCGTGAATAACCGAAATGATCAGTTTGAGGATCACTGGGCGAGCAGCCCAATAAGACCCGTATACAGTCAGACGAATATATTACTATTCACTTTCGTTTGTATATTTTGTAAGAAAAGAAGAGCTTTCCCAGTGGGCACATGACGTTGTTTCAACGTTGAATGTTGGTTGAAATGACGTCACGACGTCGAAATACCGTAAAACAACGTTATTTCAACGTCACTTTTGCGACGTTGATTTTATGTTACAGTTTGACGTTGTTTCAACGTCGAATAAATGTTGAAATTGCGTCGCGATAATATCAACCTAAATTCAATGTCTATCCAACGTCGGTTTTGTAACGTTGTTCCAACGTCCATATTTCGACATTAATCCAACATTGAATGTTGGTTGAAATTGCGTCGCGATATTATCAACCTAAATTCAATGTCTAGCCAACGTCGGTTTTGTAACGTTGTTTCAACGTCCATATTTCGACATTAATCCAACGTTAAATGTTGGTTGAAATTGCGTCGCGATATTATTAACCAAAACTCAATGTCTATTCAACGTCGGTTTGGTAACGTTGTTCCAACGTACATATTTCGACATTAATCTAACGTTGGATAAATGTTAAAATTGCGTCGCGATATTAACAACCTAAAATTAACGTCTCTCTGACGTCGGTTTGGTAACGTTGTTCCAACGTACAGATTTCGACATTAATCTGACGTCGAATAAAAGTTTAAATTGCGTCACGATATTGACAACCGAAATTCCATGTCTATTTAACGTCAGTTTGGTAACGTTGTTCCAACGTACAGATTTCAACATTAATCTGACGTTGAATATGCGTTTAAATTGCGTCACGATATTAACAATGTTAAATTCAATGTCTATCAATCGTCAGTTTTGTAATTGTTCCAACGTATTTTGACATTATTCTGATGTTGGATAAATGCTTAAAATTGCGTCGTGATAACGACCTAAATATACCAACGTCGGTTTGGTAAACTTTGTTTAACATACGGATTTTAATTAGTCCAAAGTTGAAAAAATGTCGAAATTAAGTGCGTCGCAATCAAACATATTGCATTGCTTTGAAATTGAGTATCCTCGCGGTTACTTCAACGTCAGTCCTGCTGTATCAATTAACGTATAATTTTAACTATCAAAGTGCAAAATATTATGTCAAGAAATATAAACAAAATAGCCGACTTAATTGAACTTTGTGGCCTTTTTTATGAAAACATATTATTTGTCAGCACGCCAAAGCTGTGACGCTAGCCAATCACACGGCGCGTAATTTGTTCTACATTCCAAGGTTGTGACGCTGGCCAATCAGTTTTCATGTACTCTCTTTGAATCACGATATGGCGCGCAAGCATATGACCGTTACATATTTCGACATCATACTGCAGTTGTGTGGACGTGTAGCGTGCAGCCGACATCATTTTACTCAAATAACAGGTAAGAATTTTGCCATCAAAATTCGTAGTTATTGTTATGATGTTGCTTAGACATACCTGACGTTTATTCGAAGCACTTACTTATTAATTGCAACCAATTTCTCCCCAAAACGATAAACAAATATTGACACATCACTGGGGTCGGGGACACTGGCATGCATGGTCACTGATGATACCGGCGTCCGGTACGCATGGGAACCAGGTCGACCGCATGCATCCCGGCACTCGGAACAGTGTATTGCTGAGCTGTACTAAAACGGGTTCAATGGGAAAGTAGTGAGAGAAATCCTGAGAAATAATCCTCCATTGGCGTTTTGAACTGTACAGTATAATGGACGTGTGACTTAAACTTTCCGAGACGATATTGTTACCATGAATAAATGTGGCTCAATTACTGGATTTCCTTTGTATTGAAAAGTTGTTTCTGAGGAAATAGAAATTGCATTTTTTTTCACTTGGTAGACCTTATGGACATGAAATGCATGATGATGAAATGTACTTAAGCCTACCTGGTTAAAAAAAATAATAACCAGGAAAAATATAATTCGATTTTCTGCACTGTAGAGTTTCAGTTTTCATGTAATTTTCAGGCTAAAAAGTAAAAATGGATCGTCCAAAAGTGATTGTAGAATGGAATGCAGTATATTTTCTCGAGGTCAATTACTGCCATACTGGATTTCTTCGTACAGCTACACAGCGGTGATAGGTCGTGGGTCATGTACATTATACCGTTTTACTTCCCCTGATTATTAAACCAGGTGGGTTATCTTCCATAGGGAATAGGCCTATCAAGTGGGGGATAAACACTCCCGATTTCGATTTCACATGTTGCTATCACCACCCCGGTGCTCTTGTACATGTACAAGTCACAAAACGGAGGAAGTTGCTGGGTAGTTCCTTGATCCTTTGTGTAAAACTAAAAGTTGCTGTGACAATAGTGAGAATGCATAACACAATAATTTCTGTATCAAAACTTTAGGTAAAAGCAAGCATGGATAATTATACCGCTGTTTGTAGCCTGTGCTGTGAATGGTGCAATAACAAAATGACTCACGGTGCAGGGAGTGAGTAATTACGTAAATGTATTGGCCTAAGTAATCAATCATTGCATAGGCAGGTGGTATTTCTACATAAACTTGTTTTTGTTTTGTGTAGATACTAGACATGGTTTGCATATTTTTTTGGGGAGTATGCAGAGTCTAAGTTTGGCAGGTAGGACAGGTAGGGTAGTTAATCTCACTTTTTCAGCTTCTGAAGAAAAAAATCCTTTTCAAAATTCCAGAAGAGTTTACAAGACCTCACAGATGACGAAACCCCACTCAGCAATGATTCATACAGGAATTGAGGAGGAGCCAAAGTCAGCATGGATTGTCGAACCAGTATGGAGGAGTTATGTATGACTTTCGAAGATGCTTCAGTTTGAAATCTTTCGGACAGTACTCGCAGTGCCGTAGCTGGTATGTATATGCCGACAAAAAAAAAATTCAGGGCTAAGTTTTATGGCAAAAACCGATTATTTTATTCTTAAGTCAATAACACTTGCAGAGATGTAGCTCTGATTGCAGTCATCGCACATAAAAAAAGTGGTATTCAAATCCATTTATACTTGTGCGAACAACAGACACAATGGCCAGTTCATTCAAAACGCAAAAATGAAAACAGATTTGTGGCTATATCTTAATTGAGTGTTGGCAGAAGTTTCGTCACAGTGCATTGTATAATAACTTGTGTTTGTTTACACTCTTCCGTTATCTTTTTTCCTGATGGGTCTTTGCTTTTGTCTCTGAGCGTTGTTTTTTTTCTCATCCAACAGGTGCATGACCAAGTGATTGAAGACAGTTCAACAATGATGGGCAGAGTGGAACTGAAAAAAAGCAGATGAGGAGACGGACCTTTTCAGTTTCGCAGGTAATTTAATTTTCTTCGCCAGATTTAATTTATTTTGACCAATTATTGATCTTGGTTAAAATCTCATTGTGTGGGTACTTGGTTGTATGGTTGATAATTGCTGAAGTGTCAGGAAATACAAGTGGTAGTTTTTATAAGTGCAAGTTTAATAAAAGGAATCATTCTGTTGATTTTTTGTACACAATGTCAGCACATAAAATGATGACCAAACGTGTTGTCGCTTTGTTGAAACTAATATGGTTTATGTATGTATTTCTCTTTGTTTGTGTTTGTAACATTTTCGTTTTTGAGGGTGATTTGGTTGTGTCAATGAATAGATGGTTGGGGAGGAAGCTTGCAATTCTAAAATATTACACTATCTTTTATTTGTCTTTTCTAGCGAGGTCTAGTAACTTCGTAATCGGGCAAGGTGATGGATGTTGCTGCTTGTTGAGTTTTTCATCTCCTGTCAAGTTTGCGCCTGAAAGAAGAGGTGATGGAGGGACACACTGAGGGCCCATGCACCTTCACATTCAGTCGTACCTTTGGACTGTGTTAAATATTTCAATATTGGAACAGTTGATTAATAGTAATTGTTCAAATACAGTAAGTTGCTCTGGAGTGGCTGGTATCTTTCCGTAAGTGTAACAGGTAAAGGCTCTTTAAGTGATGGAAATTCAACCTCTGCCGCATCTTGTACTTTTCATCTTGAAACTTCCACGTTCGAGAAGTGGGGGACTGTTATAATAATTATATACAGTACATGTATTGTGCATTATTTAGTTATTACTGTTGATTCTTGGTTGACCTGTTCAAATGTTCAATTGAATCATTTATATTAATTTTGTATGAATGATGCTGTTTGTTTTATTATTTTCTATTTGATAGTTTCTAATGCTCTTGCCCAAGTCTGCCGCATAACCTCTTGCAATATTTCACAAGAAAATTCAAAGATATGATAGAATAGTGCTGCAGGTAAATTTGGAAAACTAATATGAATTGTATGCAAATGAAAAAAAAAAGTGAATTTAGACGTTTAAAAATTGTACCTGTATGCTTGTTAATTCGTGTTATATTTCCGATGTAAATGCACTGGGCAGTGCTGCATTTCTTTGAAAAAAGAATCAAATTCATTATCATGTATCTTTTTAGAGAGTAGTACCCTCGTTTAGGCTATAATGCTGTTGGAACAAGTCAATCTAATTCTGAATTTTACTATGTATGGATTAATTACTACTTTGTTGAAACCTAAAAGGTGTTGTATAAGCTGATAAGGTTGGAAGTTAATTAATAAATACACACATTTTTTTATGGAAAAAATTAAAGTGATTGATAAAGAATTTCATTTAAATTTAAAGTTATTCAATTTCGACATGGATTTAACAACACTCCTCAGCTTGCAAATTTATTTAACATAGAACGATTGGAAAAATGCCAACATCCACCATTATCAGTACATTCTGGCTTTAAATCTTAACACAAACCTTAAAATATTTTGATTCAAGAGTTGCATTTATTTAACTGTGATATTTCTAAGAATAGGATGTCATTTAATGTTGATTATTTATACGTTGATTGAACATCATGTCAGTGCTATTTTAATGTAGAGATGTCGACGTTAAATCAATGTTGAAATGTCTACGTTAACTCAACGTTGTGATCTTAACGTTGTTTCAATGTCGACATTTCCACGTCGCTTCAATTTGCAAATTCAATCATTAATCAACGCTGAATCAACGTAGAATCTCCGACATTAAATCAACGTTGACATATCTACGTTGATTCAACGTCGTGCTCTCCACGTTGGTTTAACGTCAGCATAATGACGTCAGATCAACTTGCAAATTCAATCATTAATCAACGTTGAATCAACGTAGAATCTCCGACATTAAATCAACGTTGACATATCTACGTTGATTCAACGTCGTGCTCTCCACGTTGGTTTAACGTCAGCATAATGACGTCAGATCAACTTGCAAATTCAATCATTAATCAACGTTGAATCAACGTAAAATTTTCAACATTAAATCAACGTTGAACTGTTGACGTTGATTCAACGTCAGCATTTCAACGTCAGATCAACTTTCAAATTCAATCATTATTCAACGTTAGTTCAACGTCGGAATCTGACGTTGTTTCAACGTTATTTCAACGTATTTTGCCCACTGGGTTCTAATGTCAGATGGAAACAACTTCATTCTTAACATATACACACCTTTTTTGTGGTAAAAATGAAAAAAAGGTCACTTTCGCTTGTGAATTTGGAAGAAAAGAAAGAGTTTTCTAATGTCTAAGAAAAAAAATTTATTCTTATGACACATTCACATCTTCATCGTGGTAAAAATGAAGACAAAGGTCACAGAAACTGGAAAAACTTGTGAGGCAAAGGTATGCATGACCTTTGACAACAAAAATACTTTTTCCAGCCGTAGATTTCCACGCTTGAAATTAAAAAAGAAAAAGAAAAAAAGACGGGCCTGTTCAGTTGAAAGGTACAAGTGGATGACAGGCGTGGTGAACACGCTTTAGCTAAAAAAAACCTGTTTGCTTTCGAGGATCAGAATCTCAAGACAGCTTGCTTTTTTGTCGTTGAATAATCCTTACGTCATGTACTTGAAAATCAGCGTTCGAAAAAAAAATCGGCATTTCGAATAATTGAAAACGGTAATCGACACGAAAGAAAATAATAAAAAGAAACAAAATTACCGTAAACTTGCGGTCCTATAATGAATTAACATTTACTCCATATTGCCTGTAATCTGTAAATAAATGTTTCTTATATCTCAAACGGTTGCAATTTCAGTTGGCCTATTTGACAATATCCGCTTTTGTTTCTAAACGAAAATGTAAACGTAGTGGTTGTTCACATTTATAGGGTTAAATTCGGTTTCAGTCGAACAACACAATTTGGAGTAAAGTCGAGAGGCTTTTTATATATTATAGTATAAATTAAAATTGAAAACTGTTTCAATGTTCATCATTATGATCATCGATCATCATCATCAACTCGGCAACAGCAATGTTGAAGATCAATAAGGTAGCCAACATTTTAATTTTAATTCAAATTATGTGTATTTTGATGTAATCACACTAGTTCAGGATTTTTTTTTTCATAAACAGTCCATGAAATCAGTGTAATATAATACGAGATTTATTGAAGGAAGTCGTAAAAGAATATAACGCTGTCGACTGCATTGTAGATATAGACTACTAAAGCATAAACAATAATGACTTTGTCTTGTTATGAGAGATGTCTGTTAATAATGTAACACATTCTGTTTTATCATCACAAGAGGGCGCCGTTTAAAAAAAAAGTAACGTGGTGCTGGCCTCGCTTGGCTTCGTATGTTGTACATCATGTAGCTTTTGTTATGAACCACCTTGACTCAAGCATGTTGTCTTTTCTGTTTGGTCTTAAAGATATTGCTGTTTATTTTTGGTGAGTTGCCTTACTTAAATTATCCTTTTTATTTACATGTGCTAAGGAGCTGCAAGAGTGTTTTGGTAGCCATATTTAAGGTATATTTTTTGAGAATTATTATTTTATTGCTGACGGATATTCCTTGGGCTGTAATAGGGCCTGGGAGTGTCAGCGTGACATGGCGGCCATGTTTGCCAGGTTTTATTTTCTTGAATTTTAATTAAGTTTGGGGTAAAAGTTTTGAAGTCGCTAAAGTCGTTTTGCAACTCCTTGACATGGGCTTTAGGGGGAATTGAAAATGGATAGCTGATATTTTCAGGTTTGGCTGGCAAGATAGAACCGGTCATTTTTTTACAATTTTAAGTGGGTGCATGTATATCATTGTACATAGATAGCCTACCTGGCTGTTAATTTTATGAGATTTTCTGACGTGTCTGAGCAATTCTACTGGAACTTTTCTTTTTGGCAAGCGTGAAATTTGTATTTTTGTTTATGCATTCCTCATAAGGCAATTTTTTTTATTTATGCAAATCAATTTTGGCGTGGCATGGGAATCTTGGGTGCTCAGATCTTGTTAAAATGGGGTTTATTCCCATCATGATTGGTTGTTGCCAGCAGCTGGGTGTTTGTTTAGTCAGACGAGTAAAATGTTTGATTATTTGTGAAATATCTGTATTTTTCTGTCTCGGTTGGTCGCACACCTTCAAATTGTAAATGTGTTTAAATAAAAAGTGTTTAAATAAAAACTAAAATTTGGTGTTTAAAAACTAAATTTTGCCGGCGTATAATTTTACTTGTGATATGTATTTATTCAATTTCTCGAGATATTGAGAAGCCAGGAGCTTCACTCCTCTAATTTGGGATTTCATTTAATTTAACATATTGAAACAATTTTCTGTATGATGAAAAACGAGTTTGCTTAACCCTAAAGGGGCCGGGTTATTTTTACCATCTCTCAGCCGGGGGGGGGGGGGATTCCCCCCCCCCCCCCCCACTAAGATCTCAGCCAACGAGTAACGAAAAGTTACTCGCATAGATGCAACTCTTCCTAAACATACCCAAGAAATTGCATGACTATAGGTCAAAGGGTTATTGGAATTATGACTAATTAATTATTCATATGTACGTATGGCAATTCTGCTCGGTGTACACGACGTATATGCGAAAATTCAGTTTTCAGGGCGCGTAGCGCCGGAAAAGTTTTAGCTTTGCGGCAACCCGTGATCCGATTTTTATGTTTTTGGTATCAAAAGATGCGCAAAGCTCGAGGCAAAAAAGTCATAACAGCTCAGGTCGCGATTTTTTTTGTTTTAAAGGCTTTCGCGGAAAATGTTGAAGGGGGGGATTCCGCCCCCCCCGCCCCTTTAGGGTTAATTGAAGAAAATGTTCATACTTTGTGAGATTCCAATGTGTGTTTAGTAACGAATAAAATAAAAATCAGAAGGGAGGTTCCATCAAATTTGTTCAACTTATATTTCCTTAATTAATGTCTGTTAGTTTTTTAGTTTCCATCCTTCCCTTCATGTTATGTAGCGTGTAGGGACACGCTACATAACATACAACCCCACCATTATTGACGGAATATCGGTGTACTTGCAGCTGTGTAGACATTGTAACTCGCCGTTTGCAAGCGATAAGTGCGACAGTTAAAACCAAACAACTATAAATTGTAAAAAGCAGATTCTAGACTATTCCCTTGTAATTTTCATTAGGAAACATTAGGGACAATGCTCAAAACCGTTTGTTGGGGAACCACCTGGCTGCAGACGCTCTAAATTGGTTTTAAAAAATACCTCAAAATATTACACTAATTGAACATTCGTTGCATTAAAATATAAATTTTCAAGAGCATGCACGGCCGGCCGCTACAGCCTGCGCAAAAGACAGCGCCCTCAGTGTTCAACATTATAGCAAAAATTCGGTTGCGCCGAGCTTCGGCTTCAGAGGGCGTCGTCTGTTGACGAATTTGGGGTAAATTTTCAACGCGCATCCCCTATGTTTTTCAATGTTTTCAGGTACGGAGGGGGTCAAATGCAATTTATTTTTCAAATGTAATAATCCTGCTTCTTCATGGATTTGAAATTGCCTTGTTAAATTAAATGATCACGAAGCTACATGGGCGTTGCGAGAGGGGTGGGGATTGGGTGCTTTGCCCCCCCCCCCCCCCACCGGAAAAC